TGTGTGTGTGTGTGTTTGTGTGTGTGTGTGTGTGTGTGTGTGTGTGAACCTGCCGCAGTCTTTATAAGGCCTCAGTGAAGCTGTATTGACTTTGATGGCTCCATCTCTCTCGTCCTTCACATGACAGACAGGCAGTTGTTTGTCTTTGTGTCTCGAAAAACTTTTTTCTGCGACATTTTATTAGAAAACTGTTTCAAAAACTAAACTCTTCTTTCTTGACATAACACATGTCAAGAAACACATACCTACATAATCTCTTTTTGGCTATACAGCACAATATATGGAAACTATAAAAGTCCTTCTAATTTTATCTCCATGGATATGCCATTGCTTTGCCTGGAATGAAAGTATGTATTAAACCTACCGTTGTCTAAAAGACAAACAGGTGTATATGTGTATACATATATACACACACACACACATATATATATATATATATATATATATATATATATATATATATATATATATATATATATTATACACACACACACACACACACACCACACACACACACACACACACACACACATACACATATATATATATATATATATATATATATATATATATATATATATATATATATCTAATATGTTATTATTATTATTATTATTATTATTTTATTTTTTATATTTATATGTTTATGTTCATGTTGTTTGTTGGTTGTATGATGTCTGTCTCTCTGTTTGTCACCATAGTAAACACACTGCATCACGTGTGTCTTGTTTGGGTGTAATTACTGTCAGGGTGAGACAGATGAACGTCTCTATTTGTCATGAGCGACTGGAGGAAACATGGCGGACTGTTGTGACATGTCTGGAGAGATGGAGAGCTGATACACACGCATCTGTCTGCTGTGTATTGCTGTTTGCCCCATCCATCCTGACCTCCTCACACAAGGACTCTGTCACTCAGCACCATCACACACTTTCAAACAGGCCCGCTATTTATGACTGCTCCGGGCTAATAAAGAAAGCTGCTCTCAGCAAGGTGATCTGTCTACCAGTTTTGTAAGGGGAAAGAAATTGAGTTATTGCTTTGAAGGGTATTAGAAAACGTTGGGTGTACTTGTGATTAATTGGAGTAAAATTGTCAACATTTTTTTACTTTCTAAACCTGGTTTTACAGATGGACTAAATGGGTGTTTTGAACATATTTTTATTTTGTTATTGGTTCTGTATTTTATTTAGTTTAGTAAAACAAAGTAAACAAAAGACATGAGAAAGAAAACTGTATAAACCTTTTATTTTAAAAAAGAGAGAAAAAAACTAATAATATTATTGATAATCACAAAATGCTGATATTCTACTGACATTTCAATATAAATACAATGTACTGTTGAGTACCTCTCTTGAACAACTCTTAGAATAAGTTGAAATCTGTATTACTTCCCCAATGCGTGTTCTTTGTCCCATGCATGATATTGATGGCTCTAAACACAAAAAGACCACCTTTCTACTAGCACAAGTACTTCTCTTTCACTACAATAATACCCCAAAGTACCAGCCAATAAGTACCAAGAACCCCTTAACGTGCACTGTAGTGACATCGATCGCAGGCTGAGTATTGAATCAGCCTACAGCAGCAGCTCATTTTCTCTTTCAAACTTACCAAATTGCTTTTTATCTGCGAAAGTGTCATTTTCAGACAGCTGACTTTTTGTCTGTCTTTCAGCGGGCCCTGAAAGCATCACTTGGCTTTAATGAATCAGTTGGGAGTCAGTGAAGTGGATCAGTTTTGACAGAAGTGCAAAATCACAGGAGACGGCCAGAAGCACTGCATTTACCTGGTTTCTCTGGTCTAGAATGTTCTGCAGAATTTCAGTTTCTTAATATTACTGCTCTTACTGTGTCTGTGCTGAACTGGGCTAGTGCTGCAAGACAGCTATATTAAGTGACAAGGAAATATTTGTCAGTTCATGCAATTTGAATAGTTAATCAATCTGAGTAAATTGTGTGCGCAGCGCTGTTTCTCTTTCCTAACACAGGCTGCTATGTCATGCACTATGTGTAACTTTTCTGGCAAGGGGGCCGTGAAATGCTTTTCTTCATGGAGATGTCATTGCTCTGCCTGAAATGTTCCATAGTATGACATTACACAGCTCTAGCTTACATTGATTAAATTACAGGTGGTTTTATAGCTCAAAAATGCCAAGAAAAACAGGCATTCTGACTGTGAGCAAGTTTGCCTCTCTACAGATCTGACCTGTAACTTGGTCTGGTTTGGCCTTCGTGAAGATAGAAAAGTTTAATATCGTACTGTGAAACATCCCAGACAAAGCAATAACATCTCCACAAAGGAAAGTATTTGACAGACCCTCCACCAGAAAAGTTACACAGGGCACCTTTAAATAGTTGCAGACTTCTGTGCATGCTAAAAGAATAATTAAAAAGGGACATTATGCAAAATTTACTTTTTGGAGCTTTCTACTATTTTGTAACATTTTAACATATGTCCTCTGTGTATGTTTGAGTAATCTTGTTTTCTTATTTGAGTAACTTTGCAAGTAAAACAGAAATAAACAAATGCTAGTATTCAACAGTTAATCTTATAAATATAAAATGTCCCACTATAGCTTGTACTGAACATAAACACTGACGGTGGGGGTTTGAGAAAGCAGACTATAATGGAGCCCACATGGCTGAGCACACTTGCTCCATAGTAGTAAGGTCCATGTGTTATGTGTCCTGTAGTCATTATAAAAGACTGAACTGTCACGCTGGCCCTGTGGCGTCCGGTCCCTCATCAATAAGGTCAGAGTGGAGGTCAGTGCAGGCTAGCCCCATGTTACTGAGTATTGATCATGCACAGCTCTGATGCACAGCTGTCTACTGAAGTCACACATCTGTCTGCAGCGTGGCACATTCACACGCAACCCGAGGTGTAACGGAGCTGTTAATGTGATACAAGAGTGTGAAATGCACAAAGCCACAATCTTCTACAATTACATTTTTAGTGGTTTGTTTATCTTTCATCAAAACTGAACTAATAGGGTTTGCATTACATCACTGATGGTAAATTTGTCAAGGAAGGACATTATTTGGAACAAGATTTTTTTCTATAAACTATAAAGAGACAAATTGTTCTGTATTTATTTTTATGTCATGTAGCATCTGTGATATTTTGTGTTGTTTGGCGTTTCAGTTTTGGTAGATTTTGTATGCAGTGTAGTGGCTACTATTTCCCACTCAATTCTTAGTCAATAATTTAGTTCAACACTGTGTAAGGTTATGTAAAATGTAACTGAGCAGACAGTCCACTGCGGACCCATAACACGCTATAAAAGCTACAATTTTCTCTGACCCAGTCACCTCCATCAAAATTTGGTCCTTGTCCAACTTTTTACATGTGAAACTTAAAGGTCTTATATTACACAAAACTGACACTTGTGAGCCATGTTATAATGCTGTTACCTCTGCAAAAACATATTTGGAATTGTGGTTTATTTCATTCACACATGTCTGAATAATCCTTTATTATTTATTATTGGTTTGCCTACATCTCCAAAGCTCAAAATGCATCGTTCCACCTTGTGATGTCATGTAGTGGTAGTTTTGAAGTTAACAGGTACTTTTACCTTTTACTTTTTCATTGGGGATTGGCAGTTCCAGATCTGTAATCATTCAAATGATTCCACCACATGACATCACAAAGTGGAACAGAGTGTTTTCTGCTTCTTAAAAATGCAGGGTTTGTGTGTGTTGTGGCCCAAAGTCAGTTAGTGTGAAGAAGAAGTCCAAATACTCCATTATTCCCTTTATTTGCCGTACATTCCATTTAAGACTTAAGACAGACAGACACTCTGCAACCCCAACTGCTACCAATTAACTGCTACTAATCCCTCTTAAATACTGTCCAAAGTGAAGCACAGTGCCACACAGTGGTAGGGAGTGTATATGGTGGCTACAGTGTGTTAAACATGTGTGAACATGTGTGAATGAAACTAAATATGTCCAGGTATGTTTTTATATATGACCCCTTTCAGTGCCAAACACTGGGACCATAAGACAACTTCTGAACCTCATATTAAGCACTTTCAAATCTAGGCCACAAACCACATATTGCCATAAAGGATTAGTATCTTCTTTTTTTCTAACCTTAACTTAAATTCTAATTCTACAATTTCCCATCTTTACTAGTTACACAGCCTTGTTTATTTCTTATATAAAGCGTGAAATTCCTCAAGAAAAAATAAAATAAAATAAAATAAAAAACCTTGTAATAATTACTGTGCTACAAATAATAGACCACCTGAGGTCAAACCATTATCTCCTTTGTTTCGCTTACTATATACAGACATTGCATTACTGGCTGTACCTGTATATTCACTCCACTGTAGTGCTGCAGCTATGAAATCTCAGGCCAAGAGTTCACTGTTTGATGTGTCCAACTGAAACACAATCTCAAGTCTCAAGTCTTTTTGAAACTCTCGGTAGACTTGACCTGCCCTTTTCTGGCCTTGTTTCATTTCTCTTTGTCTTCACTTTTGTCTTAATATTTCTTTCAAGCCTGAATTATTCCTCAGCCTGTCCGAAGGCACTGAGCGTCCATTACTCTCATGATTAATTAGCCAACTTGTAATAAAATATAGGTTTTAAATTTTCATGGTTCAAATTATGCAAGTTATACTTCTGAATGATATCTAATTTCATTTCCTTAGACGTAACATTTGAAAATATAGTTCTACATAAAAGGAAAAATGAAATGTGTATTTTTCGTCAGTTCATTACTAGTAAATTACACTTACACCTTCATCTACTCCACTCATTAACAGGTCTTTGTTGAAGGTTAAGGATAACTATAACTAATGCTTGTAATGGTGTTTTATTTCTTCTTTTTGAATAATAATCTGTGTACTGTATCAGATTGCTAAAATAAATGCATGTTTCTGCCATAATCTCATATTCATTGGGCTGTATACTCCTCTTTGCTCTGTCACTCTGGCCTATCTTCAGATCTATTCCCATTGAAAGTCCTGTGAATGTGTGTGTGTGCAGATCCGTCTGTATGCCCGGCCCGATGCCATCTCTAGTGGAGCGGGGGACTACGCTCTCCACATCACCAAGAGGCTCCTGGGATTCTACCAGGACTACTTCCAGGTCCAGTACTCCCTGCCCAAGCTCGGTAAGGCCTTTCACCTCTCTCTTAGCTGGCTGCTTTTTTGTTTTGAAGTTTTTGGAAGTTTTGTTTGTGATATTGAGAAAATAGTGGATGTTTTCTTTTTCTTCAAAATTCACAATGTTAACTTTGTGTGCAGTGTACCCAAAACAACTTTTTCTCTGACCACTTTAAGGAGGAGAGCCAAGACTCCCTTACCGAACATTTTCTATCTGCTTCATTAATCTGACAGGCAAGCAGAGGAGAGTGTTGTAGTTAAACTGGGGAACACTTTATATCACCTACACTATCATTAGCCTTAATAAAGTAAGAGCAAATACATAATTCATAACAAACAAATACTTTAGTATAGATGAAGATTTAAGTTTACTTTATTAAGTCCTACTGAATGAAGTCTTTGTTCATACTTAATTGAGGCAAATTTGAGAAGCATTTCAAAACATGTTTCAGGCAGTGAACAGATATAGTATTAGAAACAACTCACATTAAACATTTACATTTAAATAGTCAAAATTTGGAAATAGGAATAGTAAGTTACAGGAAGAAGAACTCCAAAGTGCCCCTGGTCTTTGTTATTTCCTGCTTTGTTTTCATCAAATCCACAGAGTGATTCTAATGTAAAAAGCACATGAATTGTATTATACTGGATTATACTTGCTCTATAAACAAATGTGGTATTTTTTGATGAAACTTTCCCACACATTGCTATGAATAAAATCCTCTTATTTATACTCGATCTTGAATTTAGATATTAGATAATATATACATGATAGTGTGTGGAGTTTCTGAGGGAGCTATTGTTGTGTTTTATGCACAATAGGAAAGAGAAAACAATCAGGGGGAGTTAAAATGAGTTGTCCATTAAAGAGAGTGGTTCAAGGAGCTGGAGCTGAGTTTGAGCTGAAGTGTCTCTGAAGTGAAACTGCTTTGAAGAGTTGCACAGAAACTCAAAGAACCAAAATGTCACTTTAACTTTGTTTTACAACTTGATTTATTATTGTGCCAACTTCAGGACAACCTTTTCAATTGTATTTCTGCAGCTCAAGATAACTGAGCAGCTAGGAGTTAATTTACAATCTAATGCCCATCTAAAATAAAGATATAGAGATTATGTGCATTGAAATAGGTGATCAAAGAGTGTCTGTGGCAATTATCTAGTGTGTCAGATGGAAGGCAACATTACCTGTCAGAATGACCATTTTAAACTATATACAAATGCAAATCACAATATGCACTACAAAAACTCAAATCCTGCTAAAATGACTTGAATTAAGAACATGTTATATTGATTTGAATACATTTTACATGACAAGGAAAATACCCTGAGTTACAGTGAAGATACAACAAACAACAAATCGTTATACTTACAATTTTGTTTCTTATTTTGTTTGACTTAATAATAATAATTAAAAAAACGAATCCATTGGTAGATAATTTTACCTGTCAATCTTGATTTGAATAATTGGAATTACTTTTGCAATATAAAAAGATGTACAATGTATAAGATGTAAAATATAAGCCAAAAAGAAATGCATTTAGTTGCATTTAATGATTACTGACCCATGACTTGCATCGCCGATATGCTCACATTAATCAAGCCGTTTTTAATCATTATTGGCTAAATGTTATTGACAGACTGTCATTTATTTAACTGCTCAGCTCTTTGTACATAATCACAAAATACTCTTCACCAGTAGTCAGCCTCTATATGAGCTGTAGCATCTTATAATACAATTTATTGCTAGTGTAGGCAATAATATGTATTCCAAGATCAATACTATTTATTCATTAATTTATTTCAGTTTTAAATCATACAAAATAGGCTGTATAAAATATTTGATGACTGGGGCATCTGGACAGACAAGTTCAATATTACTCTTGATGAATACACGTGTGTTAACCAACGTCTAACCTATATTTATATTCTTAGACTACTTATTCCTCTTTTGTTTTTTATTATCCATTGTTCATTCTGTACCCCAGCTCAGTCCCAGCAGAGTTAAATAAACCCTATAATCCAGTCCACACAACACATTTTCACTTTCTTTTCACACAGTGGCTGTTTCTGTTCTAATTGGCTGTGCTGTACACTTGTCCTGGTACAATCAATTATCCATGTCACAGCAGTGAACTGGCCCTCCTCTCTCCACGCCCCAAACCTGCTAATATGATCAGTGCGGCTCCTTATATTTCATCTGTCACCCTCTTCCTCCACTTCCTCCTCCATTCATCACATTAGGAATTCTCTTTGAGTTGCAGTTTCCTGTTTGTTCCATCATCTTAGATTAGCTCTGACATTTACTTACCTTCACTGACCTTTACACCAATATTAACTGCATTCACGACGGTCCGGGCTGTGCTGAGGCAGAGGTGGGTTCAGATGACCAGTAGACTCACCACATCTCTGGAGCACGCTGGCTGCAGGCACAAAGTGAGATTGTTGTTTTTAAGTCCTATAGGTTTTAAATGATATGTACTTTTTCCAGTATCTATCTTGAGCTTATTATTCACACACATCACAGTACAAGTGCACAGTTGCCAAAATCACATAATGAATATAAATGTTTTGTTGTTTAGAATTATTGTTTCCTTGTGGGTGCTGTAAAGATTCATATACTGTATATGTAGTGACTTGTAAAATTGTTTTTAACTTCTGCCAGCAGCATGTATCTTTCATCATATATAATGTTATTATGACCCATTATAATTCAATTGTCAGTTCTCTCATTATTTGAATGTAAAATAACATGTTTTTTTTTTTCTTGTTTGTGTTTATAGAACATCTCAAACAAATTACTGAGTCAAATTGCTCATGCTGTTTTTGACAACAGTAACTTGCATGAAAAAAGAATTTCATCTATTTTGAGTAATTGGAGATAGATTGGATAACATTCATTCTTTTCAGTAGAATAACACCACAACACAGGTGCATGTGAAAACAATTTGAGCTGATCGTCACCTGCTCCATAATTGTTTGTAACCTGTCATGTACAGGTGATCTTTTCAAATGAAGTTACATGTTCTTTGCATTTTACCCATATCTTTACAGCAGCAATTTGTCATAATAGATAATGGCTGAAAAGCTATGTACTGTATGTAGCAGGATGATCAATAGACTACAGAGTTGAACTGAATGGTCCACTGGACTCTCCACTTATCGAGGTTTGTGGTTGATTTTCACACTTTTTTTTTTTTTTTTTCATGCCGATAGCAACACTTTAAACAGTCAAAACCTAATTAAATGCAGTATACATTTTTGTTTACATTTATTTATTTATTATTTATTCATTTATTTATTTATTTAGAATAAATGTTTGTGTTTGTGTACATTTTAAAAAATGACATTTGTTTCATCATCTATTACACAAGTGATGAAAACAGGTCATTTACTCGGATACAGTTGTCATGTCATGGTCAGGTGAGGGTGTTGCACAATTTAGTGCACTTGTTTAGTTGTATTTTTCTCTTATAATCTCATCAAATCTTTGGAACTGGAGGTAATTAAATTTAAGAATGATGATATGATGAAAGCTCCATAGCCGTAAAACATGTAGTAAGGATTTTCTTGTGACTTTGTCTGAAATCTCCTCAGTCCTGTGAGCACAGTGACTGAATGCGTTCTTCCATTATAAATGTGCCATGAGTATTAGAGCCTTTTATGTGTGTAGACTCACATGAACATGGGTTTGTCTGTATGCACACGTGATACTGATGTTGACATCAGTCTTTAGCCTCTTGCAGGAGGTGTGTGTGTGTGTGTGTGTGTGTGTGTGTGTGTGGTCCGACAGCCTCCAGGCTCTGGGCTCCATCTGTTGTCATGCAGGGCATCAGGCTCCCCTGAGAGGCCCAGGGAGAAATGATGAGCGCAGAGTTAGATTTAAAGGGACAACACTAAAAGTGCTGCACACACACACATGCACACTTCATAACTACAGAATAATGGAGTTGTGAGTTGACCAGAGGCTGTTCTTTAGAGGCCCCTCTGTCTGTTGAGGGTCTTAATACCTCCACATCAGTGAGATAAATGCACACAGTTTGAACAGAACTGAAGCAGACTTAGTGGTAATGACTTTGACCCCTCATTTTCCTCCATTGTCATATTTCACATTCATGCACCTTTCATAGTGTGCTCCACTATATACACACCCTCGAGTTTTTTTTTGTGTTTTTTTTTAAGTTTCCATTTTTAACTAAGAAACAGATTATTTAGGTCACTGGGATAACCTTTACCTCTACTGTGGTCAAGTTCATGTGGAATAAATTGAAATCTTAGTAAAAAAAAAAAAAGACTTATTGCAGATTGCTGTGTTTTGAGTTAAATTGCTATTACAAACACTGGCTCTCATCATACAATTTCCTCTTGTTTGCAAACAGCATTTTGATGCACAAATAAGATTACTGTGCATGAATCATTATAAACTGTGAAGAGAGATCTATCATTCTTTTACAATTATGTCAAGTTATTGTGAGCAGTACTACTTTTAATAGAGATTCACCCTCCTCCCAAATCCTGTCTTCAAAGTTAACACGTTAAACTTGACACAGACTTATTTATTCCCAGGTTGTTTAGGGCAATGTTGCTGTGACTTTTAGCAAAGCTGAATAAATCTGTTTCTGTGTTGTTTCATAGTTCAGCGTGCAAAGGGTGATCTTCCCTAACAGATCCTCTGAACTACAGAACATACTGTATCCCTAACATTATGATCAGGCATTGTGTAGAGCTGCTTATGAGATGAGTTGTTTTATTTCATAGTAAAGTAACACATTTCCTCTTTATGACTCATATTATGGGCTCAAAGAGATAACTACTGGCTCATTTCTTCCAAAACAGCAGGTTATTGCTTTAAAAGAAGACGACTATCCACTCCAAGTACTTGTCATACCGTCCTATTCTTACTGCTTAAAATGTGGAGTATTTCCAAGTCTTCAAGGAATTTTATTTTAATATGTTAACAATAAAATATATATTAAAAGATATAAAGTCTAAATCCACCCATTCCTCACCT